GGTCACCCTAGTGAGAATTCTAAGGATGTTAAGCAGCTTGGCCAGCCTCTGATTCTCCCCAGAGTTGTGTCTCTTTGTAACCATTAGAGCACATGTTCAGATCACATCTCTTGGCCTCTGTACACCAGACTGCACCGGGGTTTCTGAAGTCTGAGAGCTCTAAAAATACATGTCTGGGGAGTCATGCCTGCTCTCCTGGGGCCTGATCCAGTGCCCATCAAAGTTAATGGGAGTCTTTCCACTGAACCAATGGCAGCAGGATCTGTCCCCTGGTTGAGGGATGGGATGCCAGGCATCTCTCTATCCCTTTCTTTTCCATTGGCTAGAAGCTTCTGAGACCAGACTCCAGCTCCCTAGGTCACTCCCTGGCCCCTGTGCTCCTCACTGGGAGGCAGTATGCAGTCTGCCGTCTGGTTGCTCTCAGCCCAGTTAGAAAGGGGTATCCAGTTCAGATTTTGTCTGTACCTCTATCAAATGTACACTTTTTGGTGTGCACATGCTCAGGGCTCATGTGCTCCAGCACCAGTTCCACAGCAAGCACCCTTAGAGTCCATGGTAAATCAATAAATTCTCCCACAAACCCCCTACACTCCACTGCAATGTTATGTATACTGTCTGCAGAAAGTGTCGTCCATCCCCATCCCTCTTCTGACATACACAGCTGTGGCCCAGAGGTGAAAATACTCTTTGACTGGCCATTAATCAGTGATTCTTTTTAACAATAATTATCTTTGAGAAGGGGCATTTTTATTATGCTCTCCAGGTGGCGCAGCTCCCACGGTGTTGTCCAAGCAACCTCCTTTCCCTCATGTCTGCTTGCAACGGAGGAGAGGAGCCTGTACCCAGCTACAGCAATTCATCTCCCTGGCTTTCCATGCTGTTCCTCAGGCAACCCAACCCGCACTTCTCGTTCCCTCTGCTCCCTGAGCATAAGAACATAAGAGCAGCCATACTGGGTCAGACCAAAGATCCATCTAGCCCAGTATCCTGTCTTCCGACAGTGGCCAATGCCAGGTGCCCCAGAGGGATTGAATAGAACAGGTAATCATCAAGTGATCTATTCCGCATCGCCCATTCCCAGCTTCTGGCAAACAGAGGCTAGGGACACCCAGGATGCAAGTGGGACTCTAGCTCCCTGACCCCCTGCTGCGAGGTTCCATACAGCGGGGCGGGCTGGCCGCCGCTTCCAGCAGCTCCCATTGGCCTGGAGCAGTGAACCGTGCCTAGTGGGAGCCGCGATCGGCCGGACCTGCGGACGGGGCAGGTAAACAAACCGGCCTGGCCCACCAGGGGCTTTCCTTACACAAGCGGCGTCCCAAGTTTGGGAAACACTGCCCTAGAAAATTAAATGCAAAACATTAATGGTAAAAATTTCAAAAGTACCTAAGTGATTTAGCAGCCTAAGTCACATCTTCAGAAGTGATTTAGGCATTAGGCTTTGTCTACACTAGCACTATTGTCAATAAAACTTTTGTTGGTCAGAGGTGTGAAAAAAACACCCCCTAACTGGCAGAATTTTCACCGATAGAAGCATAGGTGTGGACAGCGCTATGTCAGCGGAGACGCTCTCCTGCCAACATAGCTACTGCCACTTGTTAGAGGTAACTTAATTATGCTGGCGGGAGAGCTCTCTCCTGTCTGCATAGAGCGGCTACACGGGAGACCTTAGAGCGGCACAGCTGCAGTGGTACACCTGTGCCGCTGTAAGGTCCGTAGTATAGACATAGCCTAAGGCTTGGTCTACACTACTGCGGGGGGTCGACCTAAGATACGCAACTTCAGCTACGTGAATAGCGTAGCTGAAGTTGAGTATTTTAGGTCGACTTACCTGGCTGTGAGGACAGCGGCAAGTCGACCGCTGCCGCGCCGCCGTCAACTCCACTGCTGCCTCTTGCCGCGGTGGATTTCCAGAGTCGACGGCAGAGCGATCAGGGATCGTTTTTTATCGTGTCTTCACTAGACGTGATAAGTCGATCCCCAATAGATCGATTGCTACCCGCCGATCCGGCGGGTAGTGAAGACGTGCCCTCAGTCACATTGGCTTTCAGTTGCCAATGAAGAAACAACTCAAATATTCTGAAGCCCCAGCTCAGGAGCCTAGCATTGTTTTCATAAGAGAAGTTGAGATGCCATAAGGAAGTCCAAGGAACATAATTAATGTGTAGGATGCTGGGAGCTAAAGGACAGAGTCCCAAGAGCATGTAAATGAATGCCAAGGCTCAGTGTTACTTGCTGTGCATTACCAAGTCAGTCTTTGTTTACCTGCATGAATTGTCATGAAACAGTATACTTGAGGTCCACCTAGTTCAAATGACTTCACTGTGAAATCACAGGGGTCATTTAGCTGGTGTGTTGCATAGCTGTGAGTCAGTGTCTCATGTAAGTGGGTGCGGTATCTGCCATTCCTGCTTACCTGAAAGGCAGGGCTTCCTGATTTGGTAATCATGCCTCATCTTGTCAGTCTTCTGTGCAATTGTCACATTAGCTTCTCCTGAGTTGTGGTGCAGCCAGAAGCTTGCTCAGTGCTGGACGTGGGCTGACAAAGGTTGGAGTTGCTTATTGCAGAACCCCAAGGAACCCCCTTGAAAGAGCTTCAGAGCTATTGACAGGTTCTTGATCGATTTGCTAAAACCCACAGGGTCTTGCTTTAAAACAAAACTCTAGAATAAGGATTTATTGAAATGCAACTGGAGCAAGTTAAAGCCACTGGTGCAGAGGCATGCAAGGAGCCTTCTTGATTTGATCAAATAGTCTATTTTCATCTGTAGCAACTGAACAATGGTATCAGTTCAGTGGAGTCCTGCAGGGATGCTGTAAGGTAAACTACCTAAAGCTTCAATTCCAGGAGAGTTTCAAATGACTGACAACTTCCTTCTAATCTTTTGGTACCAGCAATGTTAACCCCTTATGTCCCTCTGCTGGCTGCCTTAAGCAATGCTGCTTATTAGTGCTCTGCTTTCTGATGAATGTTTTTCTGTAACAGCCTCTGAGCCTGTAATTGTCTCGTACACAATTGGGTTCACACAGAATGCAGAGTCAGCACTTATATAACACTGCAGGCTTGCATGGTGGTCTAAGAGCAGTGGTCTCCAAACTTTTTTGATCGCGCACCCCTATCAGTAAAAATTTTTTGAGCCCGCACCCCCAATATGTATATTTGTTTATATATGAATTATATTAATATACTACTGTACTAATCTATTATGTACATTATAAAACATACACAAAAAATAGAAATTAAAAAAGGATGAGATAAAGATGAAATAAACAATATTTTTAAAATATTTTTTTAATTTTGTTTATTAACGGTATAAAAAACCTTTTTGCTCTCACAAAAAAGATTTTATTATTAATAATATTTTTTTAGTGAGAGCAATGTGATTGAATATGCTTCATTATTTCTGAAAAATCTTGGTTTAACACTTTGTGATACCGCGATTTGAAGGTCTGGATTAGGGTTAGGGTGCGGAAAGGCGCTCAGGGTGGGGTGCGGAGTCTGGGAGGGAGTTAGGGTGCGGGAGGCCGCTCAGGGTGGGGTGCGGAGTCTGGGAGGGAGTTAGGGTGCGGG